TAATGTACGATCCCGCAAAGTAACTCGTTCACTCAATCTATTGATTGAGTGTTTCTTTTCATTCTTGTAGTGTTTGAAGAAAATCGATGAATTTAAAGACTCCTAGTCATTTTCTTCCAATTAACTAGTCAAAAGTTGATGAATATATAGGTGATATTAATTCGTCAAATAGTCCCCCACTATGGACTAAGGATACGAAATCTCTTTCAGAACTGTTCCAAACAAATACTTCCATTAATTGAATCCATGGACTGATCTAAATAAACTGAAATAGCCATAGCTTGTGGAGTGAGCTTGAAAGCTACTACCCGGTGATATGCCTTAATCGTAAGGTCTGCATATATTTCAGGATAGTTGGTATAGAACAAAGAAGGCTTTACTCATATTGGTGAAAGCCTTGACAAACTCAATCAGATATCTTAATCATCCTTTAGAAAACCCTACACGTAATGAAAGCCTTGACAAACTCAATCTGATCCGTCTCTCAGCCCAAGCCAAACATGAGATAAGGATGGGTTGATTGGCTCAACCCAATATTGCAACCTTAAAAAGGTAAATGCCATTTCAACTTCCCAGAATTGATACTCTAGATTGAGTGCTCCGAACGACTCTTTTTAGCATTTTTAATGGGTTATGGGTGTGAAGAAAGAACTCAGAAATCCTCAATCATCTTCTCTTGATTATGTCTCACCACTTGTTTGTAGTGTCTCAAGAGAAACGATGCCATGATTCATTCTCTGGTCGTTTTCTTCCATTAGAATCCATTGCATGTTCCCCTACTCAAACTCATAAAAGAATTGGTAATCTCTTTCAAAGGGGGTCCTGTCTGATGTTTACTTCCATTGATAAACAATATTTAAGCTGAAAAGACCGTAGCGTGTGAAGATGATATCAACATTTTGCTGTCAAACTTGCTCCTTGGAGGTTGTCATTTATCATGATTTAACCATATTAGATCAGATACATGTATAGTGGGTTTAGAGATATATTAAAGAAGGCTTCAACATTATTGGTTCAAATTTTGACAAATCAACTCAACTAGACATCTTCCTGATCAACCTTTTGAATTGACGTGGTCGAAATGATCTAGAATTATGAATTAACACGGGCAAAACAAGTTTGGATGAAGATAAGCTTGAAGAGCAGGCACCACATTTGGTTTATGGACATTGCAAATATACACAAGGAATCGTATAGGGAAGAGCTGTGAACCATGTTTCATTGATCTACTCTATAAATGGAGTTATCCATTGTTAAATCGTCTTTGTCAGATCATTTCTCAGTTTCTTACCATACCTTAAGCTATGTCTGAAACGATGGGTGAACACAAAACGGTGGTGACAGGTAGGGGTTGGTATGAGCCGAATCAATCCAAATATCTTATTATTTGGGCTCGGCTAAACTGAGCTTCATATACAAAATTAAGTTTTCAACTGCCCCATACAAAAAAAAAAAAAAAAAGCTTATATTATATAATATAACTTTGATTAGATTTACAATTTCCAACCTATATATTAAGTGCGATATCAGTTTGTGTCCACCTGGACCACACCTAGTGACAGTGGAACAATGGAAATGACCCAACTGCCTGCTCCAATTTAGGTTTCAGATATTAGCAAAAGTCAAGTCTAGCCAAGACAAACTTAAATGAGTGTTGGGCAAGCCAACTTCCCAAGGGCAGGTAGGCGTTAATTGGAATGCAGTTTGACTAAAATGCTCTATAGTTCCATTCTTTGAATAATCTTCATTCCCGGAAATCCTATTATATTCGATATTTAACTTTTTGGTCACAATTAAACCAAATTGATATTTTCCCGGTATCATTGTCAAATTTAATTTCATTCCACCAAAATTTCCGGGTCTAAGTCAGAAAATAGAATGCTTCAATTTACCAAAAATAAAAATAAATAAAAAAATAGATTACCTAATGGGATCAAATAACTACATGATTAATTTGGGGAGATTGTGTGACAAATCCATCAATCCATATCAGCCCTATCTATACCCACCTTGTGTTGGGTCTAGATCTGCCAATAAAATGTAATCCAACACCCTATCAACATCATTTATACATGGTGGGTCTTATATTTATGATAGGCCTTAGTTTTATAATTAGATGTGTGGTGTATGATCGAGTTGGTAGGGTATTGTTATTGTTAGGAGATCCCAACTCTTTTGTGTTCGTTTCCCAAAATAATTATTTAGAAGTTAGTAGCTGATTCAGTTGAAATTGTCAGTACGCAGATGTGGTTCATAGTGGAGGTGGGATCAGCTGCCCTGCCCATAAGGGTGTCAATGGACCGGTTTTGGATTGGACCCCGTCCAGTCCAAAATCAATTTGGATGGATTAGATTGGATTGAATTGGACCTGGTTGGTCTATTTATATTAGATTGGATTGGATAAAGCCAATATCTAATCCATTGATATAAGAAAAGAATACATGTGTCAATGGATCGGTTTTAGGTTGAAACCAATTTAAATCAAAATGAATTTGAACAGATTGGATGGTCTAGGTATTGAATTGGACCGGTCCAAATTGATTCAAAACATTCATTGGATTGAATTGAACCAGGTCTATTTATAATAGACTCACATTAGACTGGATTGGATTGAACCAAATCCAGTCCAATTGACACCCCTATTTGCCCACATAGCGTGTCCCCCACAACCCATTCCCTCCGTGTATTGAGAATATCTCTACATGACAAGTATGAAGATGAAAGATGTTCTCAGAACTTGACTTTGATCAAGGCAAACCCCGTTTGAGCAGTGCATTGAAAACATCTCTATAATTATGTACTTTATTTCATAGAGAAATATTCTCAATATAAGGTAGTAAAAAACGGTTGGAATGGTGTGGGACTTGCCTTGATGGAAGCCGATATCTCATGTTCTCAGTGCACAGAGGGGATGGGCAGTGGGAGTGGGGCACACTCTGTGGGCAACGATCGGATCACTTCCTAATCCTAATGACCTGGGATGGGACTGCTAGCGAATAGTAGATAGCTACTATCATAAATCCAAAATTAAAAAAAAAAAAAAAAATCCAAATCCGATGATAGAAATTTGTCTGCTTTCTTTTAACTTTTCAGTTTAGGCGAGATTCCATTTTGTGGTCGGTCTGATCCTACATATATACGACACATGACAAGGTAAGCGAGGAGACCCCTTTGCAATTATGATGTGGACACATGACAAGCTAACGAGCTTAATGGCATCAACTCTTAGGATAAAGCTCCTACTAGGAATAGAAGCAATATTTACTTTTAGTCTTTTGGAATCATCAAATTCCTGCAAGGAAGTTTTTAATATTTACCACCAGTAATAAGAGTAGGATTCAGAGTGGAAGTAATACAAAACGATTTAAACACCCACTATTTAATGATGATATGCCACTGAATAAGACACAGATTGGTGAAACAGGACTCGTGTAGACCCGACTCCATATGGTTGGAAAAGGCTTAGGTAGCATTTGGTAAAACTGAACTCTAAAATTTGAGAAAGCAATTCTAATTGTGATTCTAGATTCTGAATAGATAAAAATTTGTTTGTTTGTTTTTTCTGTCCTCTAGATGCAGCTGAATTGTTTGAATATCTGAAAAGATATTATTTTAGATATTTATTTCATGATTTTTTTTGAAGGAAAACTGGGAAGAAAATGGTTTACTAGCCAATACCACTAATTCCACCAAATAAAAAGAAGAAAAAGAGAAATAGTGCCCAACTTGATCTGATATGAGTTTGTAAATCGAAGTTAACCTGAGTCAAACCGATTATATCATGTTAAAATATCTAATTTAATAAGTTTCTAATTTGAAAGGAAGCGGAATCATCTCTCTCCTCATCCCATGTTTTGACTGTTTCCCAGTTCCCTCTTTTTCTTGCTTCACAAAAATTCAAATTCAAACTATTTTGAGTTTTTGAAAGATACATGCAACTGTCAGGATTAGTGAAACCAGTCCAGACATTGTACCAAATTCCATGATTAGAACTTGGGTGGTGTTTGATAATACTCTTTAGATGTCTATATGTAACATCTAGTGAGAGAAAAGATGTCTTAAATGGTAAGAACTAGTGTCTTGTCATACTAGAATTAGATGAACTTTAGACGTGATGAAATACTGTTAATGTCCTCATTACTTTCATCTATTTAGTAGATAAAAGTAATAATAATAACAACAACAATAAATAATATTGTTTTTTAATAATAATAGAATATTTATTACTAATTAAGTAATAAGTAATGTTATTTTTTATTTTAATAAATGATAACTTCTAGTAATAATGTTTATTTATTAATAATAATCAGTATTGCTAAAAATATTTATTATTATTGATTAATAAGTAATATTATTTATTTATTTAAATATATAATGAATTTTTAATTGTACTATTTATTTAATGATATTTTTAAATATTAGTATTATAATATTTGTATTTAATATTATTTTTGTTATTTATAATTTTATCAAACAGTAAAATGATCTTTTCATCCTCTAAAAAATAAAAAGATTGTTTTTACATCTTTTCAGATTTTAAACCTGAATAATAGCATTTTTGAATTTTTAGACATCTTCAGATTTATCAAATGTCATCTTATTTTTAATTTTAACGTTTGTAGCATTCCTTTGAATATTTTTCTTTTACAGTTTAAACTGACAACAATGCTCGTATTACGAGTTAGATTTAATGTCCACTCCGTCAGTTTCGATTGACAAAAATGTCAGCTCAGTTTGGTCCAATGGATAGATTTGTATGTCACTAAACCGACCCAAACCATATACGGCCCTAAATTAGATTAAAAGACATGGGCATTTCTATCAATGCCTTAAGGCCATTTTTGGAAGAAAAAGTTTTAAAACAATCTTTTAAATTAACTGTCCTTATTTAGAGGCTGTACCAAACAATCTGGACATGTAAACTAAAATTCATCCTCTCAGTGCTCAGACGTCCATTCGGTGCAAACAAACGAGTCCTTTATTATATTTGATGACAACAGTGAGACAGAAACTGGCTCTTTATTATATTTGATTATACAATGGAGACTATTACATACAACAAACAAAAGCTCTCAAACCAGCGCAAGCTAAGCGGACGAACAAAATCAATCTCAAACTCCCTTCCCTATATTTAGATACACTGTACACAAAATCCTGAGGAAAAAAACAAACAAAATAGAAACTATTTATCCTAATAGACTTTTCTGGAATTTAGAACATGTCCCAACTGTTGTCATCAGCTCTCTCTGCAACCTCTGTGTTCATGCGCATTGAAGTTGAACCATTTCTCAGAGAAGAGGTTTCTCTCACAGATCTATCAGAAAGAGAGGTCAAAAAACTTGTCCATCATCAAGGCACATTCATCAGCGCACCGTAACTTCTGCATTCCCTTCCCTGCAGACATTCATTGTATACAGTACTGTTTTTAGCTGACAGTGAGCTGAAACATTTCTTGACAGGATTCATACATTGAACTGAGGGTGGTCCGTTTGATTCGCAGTCGGAATTGGAATTAAAATTTTTTGAAACATGAATTGAAATGGTCTATTCCCAGTTCATGCAGGAATGGAAATGAGAATTGGAATCAGCAGAAATGTAATAGGAATAGCCCATTCCGGTTCCAATTCCAAACCCCTATTCTCACGAACCAAATCAAACGGGGCTTTGAGTTTAAACTTTATATCAGATGAGAAGAGAAGAATTAGGCAATTGAGGACTCACCAGGAAGAGGAGCCGTGTGGTTCTTTTCGATTGGGTAAGAGGGCTTGAGAGGGCATGAAGAAAGTGGAAGAACAGGGAGATTATCGCAGTTGCAGATTTCAATCATATATCCATCTGGGTCATGGAAGAAGAGCTGGTCCACCTTAAGCCCACCTTCCTCCACCACTGCCGTGACATAGTCGATGTTCATCACCTCCAATTTCCTCATTACCAGTTTCATGTCTGTACACTGGAAGGAAATGTGGTTGTCCTTTGGATTGATTACTGCTTTCTTCTCTCGTTTATCATTTGGGGAGCTGCACTCAAGCAAGTGGATGCCAATTCCATAGTTGAACAACCTGAACAGCAATAGCTATATTAGTCCCTAACTCACTGACTGATTAACAATTTTGTGCTGAGAATATATTATATGATAACTTTTGCAATTAAGTTGCACCTCTAGCCATTCAAGGTTGCAACTTACCCTCTTTCCATTGCACCTAGAAGCACTGTTAGGGTCTGTTTGACAAGTCTTTTAAGAAGATCTTCTAAGATTTTCAATGAAAGACCTACACCCTCAAAAACTCGCAGGGGTCTTAAAGGGCTGAAAATCTTAATCAAAGACAAGATCAAACAGATCCTTGTAAAAGGACAGTTGCACCAAACTAAAATTTCTGGGGTAAACTGAATAAGACAGCTACATCAGCTGACATCTAACCTAATTGTACGGGTAAAGCTAATATGGGTGCCCACATCAGCTGACATTTCTTATACTATTTTACCGTGAAAACATTTTACAGCTTCAATAGAATCAATAGTTTATTATAAACATTTTTTTTTTAGACTTTCATGGATCAAATGTTCCCTTTTCATTAATTGTTATTTATTTTTAAATGCATTTCATACCTTTTTCTCTCCCTATACACACTTATGTACATGTATGGCCAACCTCTAGTATAGAACCCTAATGCTGCATTTGGTACTTTGTTCTGTTAGCAAACAAAGGGAGAAAAATAAAGTAGAGGGCTCTCTTACTTTCAATCAAACCAAATACAATAAAAAATTTTGGAAGAAAAACATTGATGTAGACCAACCAACAACTTGGAAAACAAAGTTTCACTTTTATTTTATTTTGTTTAAAACAAGTTTCCATGAGGCCACCTGGCTAGCTCCTGGTACGATATGCGATTTTTTCCTTCCTTTGTTTCTTTGACAAATGGTAAACTAAACTCTAATTAAAATACAAGGAAATCCCTGCTTATGATGACAAAAATGACAAATGTGGACACGCGAAGATGCTTTAATGTCCCCCCAACCAACCCGTACACAAACAAGACAAAGCGTTTAAATTGGAAAATGACTTGTCAATTCCAGTCACTCAAAAAATCAAATAAATCCTGCCAAATTTTCAAGGGAAATTGATTAGAGGGATGGGGGATACTACAGGATTGTTCCTTTCGTCTTAATCAGGTCTCTAGAGAGTTCTTAGAAAGCTAGAAATTAAGAAGCTTAGTACTGCTCATCCAACGCTCTACAGACACAATAGGTCCCAACACAACACATTTTTTATTTCTCTTCTCTTCTATTTTACCCTGAACCCCGCGTTGTCTGCAGCATGTTACACGTGCAGCAGTCTCTGTGCAGCTCCCATTGCTTGAAGAGTTGGAAGTCATCCATCACCTGTGGAAATGCCCTCAACTACTGTACTATACTGCTGATATGAGTTGGTGTTAATCAATTGGAAATAAATAATACATTGCTGGGTATGGGTATTTTCATTTCTCCTCTTCAACGCTTTTGCTTTGATTTGCATTTTGCAATCTAGCTCAGAAACCCTTTTTTCTCTATCAAAATTATCCACAACTTCTCATTCATCAAGAAGGGGACAGTTTTGTTCATTTTGTTGATGTCTTGGTAATTATGATCTAAAGTATAGATTCCAATCAGATGACCAAAGATTATTCCCTCTCTGCAACCCCCCCACCCCAATCCCCAGCCCCAACTGCAGCCCAAACCCATGAGGATGATCCCAAGTTCCTAATTAACCATCCACCATCCGATCAAGCTAAAGGGACCCAGATTCAAATCGTCATCTGGATCTGCAAAAGAAATCTTCATTCTCTTGCATGAATCTGTCAAAATCTGAACTAAGACAAGATGGAGACAAAAAAACAAGCAGTAGAGAAAAGATCGACAAATGAAAGAAAATGAATATGAAGAAAAAGAAGAAGAAAGAAGAGAATCATACCAAGCTCCTTCAAACTTGAAGGAAGAAGGCCGCTTGATAAGCACAAAGCCCAGCACCTCCTCGTAGAATTTCACAGACTTCTTGACAGATTTACAAAGGAAGGAAACATGGTTCAGCGACATCAGCGGCATCGTTGCTTCAGATGAGTACCCATTTAGCATCTTCTCTTCTTCAATTTCCACCACCGTTCTCTTGATCTCTCTTCCCATCTTTCTCTCTCTCTCTCCTCTCTCTAAGCCTGAGCTCGGTTCTTGGCTGGCTGAAAAACGCAGGAAAGCACAGCTCTCTGGACGAGCTTTTGTGAGAGAAAGCTACTACTACTAACAGCGGTGCTTTCCCTCTCCCTCAATGCTTGCTTTTAATGTCACAGCATCACTTGCTTATATAAGCAGAGAAAGCAAAATTAATCCATTAATAAAATTAAAAGTCTAAGAAATAAGCTGGCAAAATGTGGGTCTCATGTTCCACATCAATCCTACGCGTAACATAGTCATATTGATACCCCATTAAGCTGGGAAGTGACGGTCTTATCCACAGTCATATTGATACCCCATGGACCCACATTTCAGACTGTCTGATGCACTGTTTGTCTTATATTCCTGGAAGTAGGTGAAACATGATCCAGCCAAGTGCCAACCTTAACCATTGATCGGACGGCTGAGATTGTTTCGCGGTACATACCGTCTTTGGGCAGTTTTGATTGGTTTCAGCCCAAAATTACAGCAAATACATGAACCAGAATCTCGAAATTTTATGTCATTTATTTAGTGGTGGTAATTTGTCCATTCTGGCACGTCCTCTTTTTCCTAAAGACAAAATTCTTCCCATTTATTTGCCATCTTTCCGTCTCGTTGTTGGTGATTATGTGTAGCACTTATCACATTTGTCTTTGTATATGACAGCTGGAGCTATTTATCAAATAAAAAAAATACAGCAGCTGGAGCTGGTTCGAGAACACTCTTCAGAATTTGGCCATTGACCAAATGTTCGGGTCGGGTCAGACCAATCCATTGGGTCGTGGTGGGCTGGGATTCAAGATTCTCACCATCTTTTATTTATTCATGAAATTGTATATCGTACAGTACCATGTGATAAATCTTATAATATAATCAGATTAAATCCATTCTACGTCCATGCCTCACATAAATTTAAAAAAATTGGAAACGCTAGAAGATGACTTTTGGCATAAAAAAGAAAAAGATAATACTTAGGCATTCGTTTCTGATATTGACCTTGACCTATTAGGGTAATATGTAGCATGGTAAATATTATTGGTAATACTGTGAATTAGGTCCCATTTGGCTGAACTGAATTACTTATTTCTTTATCTTTTAGTAGATAAAATAGTTAGATAAAATATATATTTTTCTCTAAAAATATAAAAAAAAGATATTCAAGAAAGAATAATCAACTCAACTTGCTATATATTCAGCCATTATAAAAATAGTATCCAGACTAAAAGAAAAGGAAACAAATCATTTAGTTCAGCCACTTCAGTAATATCAAATGCCCTTAAAATATTTTCAGCTTGTTTTGTAATCCTAATGGTTTGATTTGATTTCTTTATCAATTCATGAATAACTAAGAAGGTTTATGACACAATTATTATTATTATTGTTATTATTAATTTATTATTTTTCTTTGTTTCGGTGGTAGGTGCCAATTATAACCCTATCATGACAAATTATCAAACAAAAGTTAGGCAAGGTGGGCAAATCCAACAATACCAAATTACAAATATTCTAATCAGGGCAAGATCTTTTCCGGATTTTAATGGTTAATGAATTTTAGTTTTATTTGCTAAAAAAAAAAGAAAAAAAGAAAAAAGAACTCTTCCATCGCAGACATCCCTTTCAACTTTCTAGTGTGAAGATGGATATGGATGCATTCAATAACTTTATCTACGGGCCTCATTCATCATCCATTAGTTTATTAGGCTGTGTTTGGAAATGATGTAAATAAGTGTGAATGTAAATATATAAAGTATAAAATGGTTCATATAAATTGTAAAGTTGGTTTAGTTTTGCATTGATAAATTTATCTTCTTACCAAATAGATTTTTAATTGTAATGGATGCAAACACAGATTTCAATAAAATATATGCATTAGAAAATATGTTTACTGTCATTTGTCAATGCATAAATGTAATGTTAGCAAACATAGGCAAAAGTGAACCAGAGTGCAAATTTGCCCTAAACCGGGATTTATACTTCATTTGCATATTTTTCAAATGCAGCCTTAAGTCCAAATTCTCTGGGCATATATCTTTTCCAACAGTGATCTATGAAATAATCATTTTGTCTTTCCTTGATTATGAGGGTATATTAATTAACCCAACTTTAGCTTCATCTGACAGCAATTAACGAATAAGGAGCTTACTTATATTCAGTTCAGCCATTCAAGGTTCAAAAATTCGATACCTATCAGTTTGTATTGACTAATACGTATCGTATCGGAAAACCCCGATATGACCTTATAGAAGATGTATCAGGGTTCTGAATTCAGAAGGTGGAGGAACCTTAAACTGACCCCCTGAACCAGTTTTAAAAAAATAAAAAAAAAGAAAATACCGATACGCCCCTATTGATATATCGAACATATCGATATTTAGAACCTGCTGAGCATTTTATAAATGAAATTTGTCTATTTGCTGGCTTCTAGAAAACTCCTATTTTATTAGCCAACGATTAGAAAATAAGGTAGATTGGAGATTATTCAATTAGTACAATGCTATTTTAATTAGAATTTACTGTTGATGAATAAATATATTACGTTTTATTGATAATTTGAAAATTAAAAAAAATAATAAAAGGTTATGCTGTCATGTTATGCTTTTTCAAGCATTTAGTTGAAAATTTCAGCACGGGTTTTATTTTCTGTTAGGTCGCGCGTTTTGGTAATTGAAATGGAGATGCCTAACAAACCATTTTTTTTTTTTAACTTTTGTGATAAGAAAAAGAAAGTAAAATATAATATTACGAAGATTTATAATATAAACATTTGTACATTTTACCTGTGACATCAGCAAAAGCATTATGATTTTAGTGATGTAGCAGCTGTTTATGTTAACAAAGCCATGCATTCCAACTCACACTCCCTCAAATTATTCTCAAACTAGCGGGACTCATGGGATGCATGAGATTCATTATAGAAATAAGTAAAAGTATATAATTATTTTATAGGGTAAATTATAAAGACCCAGTATTTTGTTTTGCGACAAAGACCTCTTATACTATGATCGTGAGACAAAAATCCCCTTCAGTTAATTTTTCGTCCAAAACAAAACTTGTTTGTGCTTTTGGGCTTTGAATGCACCTCAGCCTTTATGATCTAACCGTCTCCAAGCTTGAACCCAGGAGTTACCGGAAATCCCGAAATCAGAATAAATCAGTTAAAATGAGCTAACCAGAAAATTGTTATCAACAAAATGAAAGAAAAAGGAGAAAAAATAGAGAACAGAACATACCCGAAATATTTGATCCTTGTTTGTCTAATTTCTTATTATCCAAATGGGGCATTTTGTCAGCATCACAAATCGAATAATTTTGCAACTCCGACTTCGGAATCGGCCAGCTTGGTGAAGGCGGCGAGGATGCCTCTTCTGAACTACTATGGTTCCCTTCTTCATTCGTAGTCCCAACAGACGTCAAAATATCATAGCTCTGCAGGAACTGCTATCCTGAGACTCTTCAATGGAATCCGTAAATGACTCAATTTCCCGCTGGCCGGAAAACTCGATGACACTCTCTATGTACAGAGGATGAAATTCAGCTCCTCTGATTGCCTGAAAATGGCATGGAGCCGGCTCGAATGCAAAGGCCAGCAAGTGAAGCAACCAAACCACCTTGGCCATTGCCAAGAACTCTTCTTAACACTCACTCCTTGGGTAGTTGTCCGTCGAAATCACTCGACGCTGCTCAAAATGTCCGAACAGAGACTCCTCCATCTTGGGGTGAACGAGATCATAGAGCAAAATTTGCCAAAGCCACAAGTGGGAAATATGCTTAGGAGCTCAACTGGGTCTGTGGCCTTCATATCTTGGAACTGATCCAAGCAGTCTCAGCGGAACTGGTCGGGGTGGAGAAATGAAGGGACGTTGTTGTCCATGTAGAAATGAATGAATCAAGGTCATTTCTAGGGTATTTTGGATGGCAATGCAGCCGCCGACAATGTAGCTGGTTGGAGCTACGGCAGATGCCGAATGATGGGTCCTAGTGGGTGTGCCTGAGCATCATACGAGCTTCTTTGTTTTTTTTTTTTTTTTTCGATATGGGAAGGAAATAAGGGAACAGTACTAGGAATGGATTGCAATAATGGATAAATTCTGTTTATGGGAAGGAATTAAGGGATCAGTTCAGTCTCAGCGGAACCGAGGAAATGGAGGGAAATAAGGGAACAGTATAGGGTGGATAAATCAATTCATGCAAGTCGTTTGGTCCGAGAGAGTTGCGCTGTCAGTCAAGTATGAACCAAGGTTGACTTTGGACAAGGTCTGAAGATCGGTAGTACCGGATATCTATTTTCTAGGTTAAATAGGTTTTAAGAGAAAAAGGGCAAGAAAAAAAAAATAGAAAAAGTTTAGTAAGGTATTTTGGTAATTTAATGCCTTTGGTTATCTGATTTAACAGTCAAGGGGGTTTTTGTCTCGTGATCATAGGACAGGGGGGTCTTTGTCGCAAAACAAAGTATGGGGGGGTCTTTGTCATAGACCCCATAATACATGGGGGGTCTTTGTAATTTACCCTATTTTATATTTTAATAATTATTATTTATATTTTATGTACTATTTTTAATAATTATTTAATAATAAAAAATAACAATAAATATTTTCATCTAGAGTTGTTCATCGAACCGATGAAACCAACCAACCTGATCCAATTCGACCTGAGTTGGTTGGTTTTTCTAATATTTTTGATTGGTTAGGTTCAGCAATTTTTCAACCTGACCAAATTGAGTTAGTTTCAATTTGACCATTTGTAAATCGACCAAAACTGAACTAACCCAATCATAAATACATATTAATACTTTATATTTTAAATATAAATTTTTAATACAAGAAAGTGGGAAATTCCCGTATTTCCTAGTTTAAAATATTTTATAATCATAAATTTAATTTTTTTAATAATACCACCATTTTTTAAATCTAAATTTAATTTTGGGAAGATTCTCGATTAGTACCCTGTACCTTGGGCCTAGTGCCACTTTAGTCCCCAAACTTTACAACGCGACAATTCAATACCCGAACTTTCAAAGTGATTTCAATCTAGTACATGTCATTAACCAATCCGTTAACCAGGCGTTAGGTGGAATTTTAAATGACACAAATGCCCATCGAGTGTCATCTAATTTTATTTATCAACTTTGGATTGTTTATTTTTTGTCA